GGTGTGTCTCGGGCATCATGCGACCGAGTAGCACGACGCAGGCGGGCGGGCCGCGTAGGTGTGTCTCGGGCATCATGCGGCCGAGTAGCATGACGCGGGCGGGCGGGCCGCGCAGGTGTGTCTCGGGGCATGGAGCCGAGGAACACGACGCAGGCGGGCAGGCCACGCAGTAGGTGGACTCCGCGGTCTACGGCCGAGGGACATGGCTCGGGTCGGGAGGCCGCCCTGAGGTGGCCTCGGGTGACACGGGCGTCGAGTTGGCGGGGGCACCGTCAAGCGGCGACAAACCCGGGTCGTTGAATATTTGCCAATATCATTCTAAGGTCGTGGCGGGGTGTTCGTCACGATGGTCTCCGTGCGGGGGATGTTCCCCTAAGGCTTCAGTCGGTTGCGACTTGTTAGCCGTGGGCTCGTTTGAGTCGCCCGGGTGATCACCCGACATTCTGGGCCCTCCTTCTAGTGCCAATATGTTGTGGTAAACAACTTTGAGCAGTGGCCTCTGGGCTGACGCGGCTCGGTTCGGGTCCGGATGGCGGGATCTTCCCGGTGCGACCCTTGGGTTCGCCGAGGTAGTCGGCTACGGCGGTCCGATCGGGATGGGGTCGGCCGTCTCTGCTGGAGGGGGCTCCTCAGCTGGGCACGCGCCCCGTCTGCAGTCCTGCACACAGGTCGGGTCGGGAGGCTCGACCCGACCCCTCCGACGATCAAGTCAGTAGATGGTGGAGGGGGTAGAAAGAAGAAGAGTTTGAGGTGTCTCCCTGATGTGTTCTTTCCTCCGTCCTTCTTCTCGCTCGTTCAGAGTGCGAGAGTATTTATAGGGAGGCTTACTGTTTCCTGATGTGCCCGCTTGCAGGGGGCAGGCTGGTTGCGTCTGACATTGGTTTGGCGTGACGTGAAGAACCAAGCCTGAGTAGGTGTTAATGTGCCTCGGCCTATATTCCGATCTGTTTGACCAGGTGCCGTCGCGTCGTCCGAGGCGTGAGACGTCATCTGACATCAGTCGGGTCTTATCATAATTACTATCCTCATCAATACCCAAATCAATTTGAAATAAAGCTTTAAGAGTGATTATGTATAACTTAAATAGGATTCCTAGTAAGTTAATTTCATTAACTTCTTTTGAGTTATAGATGGGTAGAAAATCTAATTTGAGATATTTTAGGATTGTCCTAAAAAATAATAGTTATAAATTCACTTATAAATAAATTAGATTCGAGGTTATTTTTAGATATTTTATTTCATATCTAGAAAAATTTAAAGGGATGCATATTTTAGTGTTTTAATCATAGTATAATAATAGTTGAATATGGCACAACAAAATTCTTATAAAATAATAAATTAATGATAGTTAAATCATAAAATTTAATCATCATATTGAGGAGATACATGTGAATAATCATTTATCATTTTATATTTAAAAAGTTGTTTCTTAAATAACTAAATGACTTGATGAAAGTAAATAATAAAATAATATTAATGAACTCCATTATAATGTTGATACAACTGTTGATAACTTATAAAACAATCACACTCATTTTGAAAAAATCTCAAAAGGGAAAAGAGATATTATTTTTTATAATTATGTGCTATATCTATAAGAACTAGATTATGATATAAGAGTCAAAATAATATCTTATTATTTTCATAATTATAAGAAATGATGATTTTAAAAAATAATATGATATAATAAAAAAATTAAAATCAATGAACCAAAATAACATATGAGAACTCATCGAATTATCTAATAATTATAAAATACTCTATTATATATGAGTTTTTAAGACTAAATATATCACAAAGGACAATATCGAACGATATAAAGTCAAACTTATGATTAAAAGTTTACTTATAAAATAATATTAATCACAACAAGATATTTTCTCTAATTTATCTAGTAAACTCGTTAAAAATCATCATGACACTAATGACTCATTATTATTTTAAGTTACATCATATCGATATGAAAATAACTTTTATAAATAAAAATTTAGATAATAAAATTCAAATGGTTCATAACAAAAAGAAAAAAAAATTTGACATATAAATTCAAAAAATCTATTTATAACCATAAATAAGTTTTTAAATAATGATATATAAAGTTTTATAATATCATCATTCAGATTTAAGAAAAATACTATTGATCAGTATTTATATCTAAATATCAATATACGTAAGCTTATTATATTAGTCTTGTATGTGGACTATATTTTACATAGAGATCTTAATTTACTATTTGAAATCAAAAAATTCCTCATCAATAATTTTTAAATAATTAATATGATTAAGATAACTTATTTTATTGATATAGAGATATTTAAGGATACATCTCAATAATTATTAAGACTATCTCAGAAAAAAATTATTAATCAAATCTTAAAGAGATTTAGTATGTAGTGTTGTTTAACAAATGACAAATATATAAGAGTTTTACCAAAATTGACTTTGAAAAGAATCAACTAAATAAATAAATAAAAGAAAATATTTCTTATGCATGTGTGTTGAAGTGTATATTAAATCAAATATTAATTTTGTAGTTGGAATACTAGGTAAATATTAGAGTTATCTATGAATAAAATATTAAAAAATTATAAAAAATAATAAGATATCTATAAGGGATGAAAGATTATATGCTCATATATGAAAAATCGGATCAATTTAAAATAATGGTATTTTCATATGTTGATTTTATAAATTATCTTGATAATAAAAAATCCACTTTATAATTTATATTCATGTCAATTGAGGGAGCAACTTATAAGAATAATATAATATAAATTATATATGGACAGTATAAGTTGATTTTATGACATATTTTGAGGTCACTAATTAAACTTTATGATTGTAAAATTTCATATATGCTATAGTCGAACTTAATTATTAAGTCGTTATAAATATTTTATGACATATCATAATAATTTATTTTTAAAGAATAATAAGTATAATAACTGTTCTAAACATATCGAGATAAAATATTTGACAGTAATAATATAAAAATAACTAGTGTTAATTAAAAATATGAGTTTTACAGCATTGATTATTGATATATTTACTTAGGTCTTATAGTCTAAAAATATTTTAAAAATTATATTTTTATGATTAGATTTATGAGTAATTCATAAAAAATATAATATGTAAATCAACATTATAATTAATATTTTTATTTATGTAATTAAAGTTAATTTTTTTTCTTATCCTATTCATATTTATGTAATTGAATTCACGAGTCAGGTGCCATTCAAAATCCGAATACGATAATATTTACATCCGAAGAGAGATGGGTTTTGGTAGTGGCAGCATCGCCGACAGAGTAAAAACGAAGACGAGGCGACGACGCAGGCGGCATGACGGCAGGCGGTTCGAAGCCGGCCCCTCTCTTGTGTTGGAAGTGGAAGTGGCCGTGGGATCCCCAAACCCATTCCCCCGATCCTAATCCTTGCGGCAACCTCGACGCCCCTTGGCTCTTCAAGTCTCTGCAAACCCTAGCCTCCCTCGCCCAGAACCTCATCCTCCTCCACCCACCGGCTGCCGACTCTTCGTCGCTCGGCGCCTCTGCATCCCCCACCCGTCGTGAAGACCCAGCCGGCTCCCTCTCCAGGGACGAGCAGGGGGAGGCCGAGCATCGCGCCCTGGCCCTCGCACTGGCGAGCGGGAAAGAGGCGACGGTCCTTGAGTTCTACTCCCCCAAGTGCCGGCTCTGCAACTCGCTGCTCGATCTCGTGCTCCGGCTCGAAGCGAGGAACTCCGATTGGGTCAGCTTCGTCCTCGCCGACGCTGAAAACGAGATGTGGCTCCCCGAGGTTATAGCTGCTCTTCTTTCTCCTCTTCCGTAATGAAAGCATTTCCCTTTGCATCGGATATATTTACTAGCTATTTAAGTCGTATTGTGTACATACTATACACTCGTTTTCGTCGAACCTCTGCCGGATGGAGTTTGGACCGGAGAACCCCTTTAGGACACTGTGTCATTAGTTTCCACAGATTGGGATCGATTTCTTGTGTTGTTACCAGTCAAGTAAGTTTATTGCCCAAAGTTTATTTGTAGAAATTCTTTAATGACACATTGAGATGCGAATGATTTCTCGTGACATATCCTTCTTGACCTGCATTCTTCTGTGCAAATAGTCCAATGTTTTGCATTCAGCCCTATCTGTTGATTCAGACACAAGTCATTAGCTTTTAGGGAAAGAAGCACTGATGGACACTAAAGTCTTACAAGGAAATGTTGGTTACTAATCATTCATGTAACTGAGGAGCCCCAGGATCAATTCATTTCCGAACAACCTCTTCGGTTATTGTCTTGTAAACCAAATGCTTCAGTGAACTCTGGATTGCGTTGAGAATTTGTTGGATTTCATCCTTGTGGTAGGTCGATGTTGCCAATGATATGGTTAAGTTTGTATTCTAGTTTATTCACCTTAAGTTTTGTCATGGTAGGTTGATTTGGTTCATTGACATTGGATTTTGCTTTTTAGAGATTTTAGAGTTTCACAGGATTATGCTGGCAAAGACATGACCAGCATAGAAGACCATACCTTTCCCAATAATAGAGAGATTATTGATTCCATTGCCGGTGTCTCATACACTGTGCCTTCTCCTCCTGCTTACAACTTTCATTGACCTAATATTTCCATTCTTTTGCATTCTTCCTACTTTCAAGCATTTATGGTGCCACACTGAAGATTCCCACTGATTGTACTCTAGGAAAGTAAACAGGAAAAACTGATTTATATGTAAGCAAATCATGACTCTTTTCGGTCTACTAGAATCATTTCTGGATTAACTAAATTACTGTTGTTAAATGGTGCCGATGCTAGTTGTCATCCCTAGCTGTTTGCTGTTGTGAAAAAGCATGATGAAGCTTCTGACAATTAACTCAAATACTCTGGTACATGCTTCTTATGACTAACGCTTTGGCCATCTGACAATGCTTATATGTACAATCTGTATCGGACATCATGAAATTTATCTGCTTCTCCATCTTGAGGTTACGTTTGGGAGGATCGATTGTATTTATCTTATTCATAAAGCCACCTTATTTGACAATTTTGATGATACCTATGTTGTAAATTGTTTCTGTTTTCTGATAATGTTTCTCTTTTTTTCATCTTGATTTGCAATTTATGTTATATCTGATTTACCTTTTAAGAAATATGAGTAGGGCATGTAAACACTGCCATTAATAAGGTAAATCATATCAAGGTAGTGATGCTAAATTTGGTTGCTCTGACTAAAATATTTCTACTTGTGCAGCTTCTCCATTATGACATTAAATATGTCCCTTGCTTTGTGCTTCTGGATAAGCATGGAAGAGCTTTAGCCAAAACAGGAGTTCCTACCAGCCGACTGCATGTCATTGCAGGCCTTTCTCATCTCTTGAAGCTGAAGCAGCCACAGAAAAACGATGAAAAGAAATTTCCTTGATGATTACTACTACTATCTCTGAATTGGCTATGCCTGACTATTTCTGTCGATAGAATTGGCTATCCCACTAGCAGTCCTGCTTTGGATGTGGTTTTCATCTGAGGTGATGATCATTTAGATAAAAGTAATGTTACAATTGTGGACATCGGTCGACTTTGGAGTAAAATCTTAGTTATTATTTGGAAGGCAAAGATATGAACTTTTAAATTTCTGTATGAGATAATGCGATATTAGAAAACCTTTATGTACATCTTTTTTTTTTTTTTTAATCTCCTACTATCCCTGCACAATTTTTGAATATGATGTACTATATTGTCTCTACCCATTGTGATTGTAGTATATTGTCTCTACCCATTTTGATATCGCTGTAGGATGTATTCGTAAACCCAAATAACAGCAGATAATACCTTTTTCTTTTGTGTTCTAGTACGGTGTAACCCCGTTGTTGCAAGTGACTAACAGGATATTAAGAGCTACAATTCTCTCTCCCAATCTGTGAACCGCTTCTCGATCGTGCGAAGCCTCCATCTGCAGCACCGCTGCCTTCTCCTCCTGCGGCCCATTGATCATTGTCAATGCTTCGTCTGCTGCAACTGCCGAAGCAACTCTTTCTTCTTCCAATTCCTTGTACAGAGTACTGGCAGCATTTGTCTCCCACAGTCGGCTTGTTTCGGGATTGGGCTTCTTAATTGCTGCAGACGACGTAGGAGGGAGCGAGCGAACTCAGTTACATGGAAGAATGTTCATGTCAAGCTCCGCGTGCTGTGATGAAAGACAGGAGGAGGAAGGAGAACAGTGCGACCAGGTTTTGATTGCCTAAAGTACCGCCATCGGAGAGGCCGAAGTAATGCGCTGTGCGCGCAGGAAAATAAAATGTTCGCGTCTTCTGGGAGACCGAGTCAGCTCGACCGCAGACTACTCCCTCGATTCAACAGCCTACTATTCTCTAGAAGAGGCTTCTGATGGCAAATCCGTTCGTCAATTTCTGCAAATCTGTCGGCCACTACGTATCGAACGACTTCAAGCACCAATTCGACTGATCATCGAAGGAGGCAAGGAAAACAAAGAAAAAATCAACTCGCAGCCCGCAAGGAATCCCCGGTTCTTTTTTCCTTTACTTTTAGAGACGAAGCCTGCTAGCCCTAATTGATGTGCCGAAATAGCATTACAGAAACGAGAGAAAATGACAAAGTCGAACCGTCTGATTTGTATCAGATGAAAGGAGGGGGCAGGTTGAGATCAAAGTCGAACGACTTCTTCTTCTTCTTCTTCGCTTCCTCCTGCTCGCTCACCACCATCTTTACCGCTTCGAACCGGTACCATGAGTACTTCGATTGGTTCGACTGCCACCCGAGGAACATATCCTGCCCATTCGGCGCCGGAGCCAGCGCCAGGAAGCCCGATCGCCACGGCGGTGCCAAGCTCCAGCTTATTTGCGGCGCTGGCACCGCGGAAGCAGCGGCCGAGGGAAGGATCTCGACGACGGGGACGGAGTTACCGAAGTTGGTCTTGGCCTTGGGGCCCCGCAGGCTGCGGGCGGCCTCGTCGTAGGCCCGGGCTGCCTCCTCCGCCGTGTCGAAGGTCCCCAGCCACTTCCTCGTCTTCTTCCACGGGTCCCGGATCTCCGCCGCGAACCTGCCCCACGGCCGTTTCCTGACACCGCGGAAGTGCGACGCCTTCCTCCCTCCACCCATCGTCAACGCCGCTTCCTTCGACCCGGTGACCGCCACCGTCGCCGAGCCTGCATTTCGCGTCGGAATCGTCTCCACCGCCATCACCAACACGTAACGAGGTTTGGTTCGGGAAGGGGCGAAGGGAAAGGTTATATATATATATACCGCAACCGGCGGTCTTGGTCTCACCCAACAGCCTCCTGATCTCGATTTAATATAATACCATTGATTTCTTTTGCCCGAGGGCAAGCGCATTTATCGGACGGCGATGATTCCCGTGCCGCACGAGCCGATCAGACGGCTGCCGACGCGTGCAACCAACTTATCTGATGCTATCCGCTGGATGGATCACCGATCTCACGTGTGGGTTCATCAGTTCGCCCAGTTCCTTCTCCAATCACAAGGTAGGTACACACGTCATCGACCTGTAACTAACTTCGAGAAACATAACGCCGTATGATGCCGGTTCGCCGGCTAGTAACCGACACGTTGCCTCGAGCTCACCGGGAGTGTCCGGTGACGAGCCCCGCTTTGGACCACACATCACCACGTGGTATGTCCCTGTTCCATCATATTCAAATAGGATCAGCACTTAATTATTTTGAGAGATTGTCTAATTCTTTTTATATTATTACAAAATTACCACCAGAATATTAAATTGGGCTGTGGAGAGGGCCCTCCCTGACTTAGCTGAGCCGTTATTGTTTGGTAGTGCGCTTTAAATAGCAAAGAAGATATTAAAGCCCGCACTCTCGCTCACTCTAATAATTTACTCATGTTGGGAATAAAAGGATACCCAAAACATAAGAAGGAGATTAGCGCGTGCGTGCGTGCGTGCGTGGGGAGGCAGAGCGTGTGTTCACCTGTGCCCATTCTGTGTGTTTAATTCAAAGGCGCATTACATGGTCATTTTCGACCGTTTGGGCTCGGTCACGGTCGGTGCAATGCCAAACAGATCAAGTCCGACCCGAGTCAGCTTAATAAACCGACCCAAATTGACAGTCAACCCGTCCATTGGGTCAATGCAAATCGTGGCTGTGTGGGACCCAAATTGACAGAACCACCTAACTAAATTTGGTGCCGCACGTGCATATCAAACATTGTAATAGATATCTTCACGCTGGGCCAGGCCAAATCTACATCTTCGGCCCATGAACTATGAAGCATCGGATGCGTGAAATCGAGACGTGATCCTTTTCTATCAGTAGATTCCCAGATGCTTACTCTCTTCTCTATCTGAATCTTCCATGTCGGATGTGTTGGATCACACATCCACACCAGTGAAGAATCCCAGTGCACTCTGCTAGGACTTGCTAATAAGCTCAATTACTTACAAAGCAAAACATCAACTCTCATTAATATGAATATCTTTGAAATTTTCAAGGTTTATAGCTCTCTCGCGCTGGTAATCCCATGGTGGCTAAGAAAACCCCTCCCAGAGATGGCTTGCTGTCTATCGTTTTAGCGTTCAGGTATTCTGTGGTACCTTCTTTTAGCTTATTTGTTTCGATCTGGAAATTGGACTAGTTTATAGAAGACTAGTGCTTTTGTTCTAAGAAAGACTGTTGAGCAGCCTGCAAAGTCATGGAAGACGAAACATAACAGAAGCAGACCTGGATGAACTGGAAGACTATGTTCCATTGCATTGCATTGCAATTGCTGCACAGACAACTGCAGCATATGCTGCACCGGTAAAGTTGACTAGAATATGATGCATAGGCATTTTCGGCAGAGCTGTCCTTTCCGCGACTTCAGAAAGGTCAAACATTATCCCCTCAAGTCAACAATTCCGCAGAAGAAGTAACTCCTGTAAGACACTTGAGGAGATCTATGCTGAAAATAATGAAACTATGTTGAAGAAAGGGTGGGAGCACCAACATGCGAGTTTACATCAGCAACAATACCTTTTCTTTGTTTTTATTGTTGAATGGAGGTGTACACCAACATGAACATGATTCACATCCAAGATTTGAGATAAAGACAATCAGAAAGAAAGAAAAATCAAACGTGATCTATAACATCAGTCTGATGGCAGTCACATGGATTTCCCTGTTGCTTTTAGACTTGAGATGCAAGTTATCATTATCACCATACGAATTTCCATTTCCAGATGCTTTTTTTCCTTCTCGTAACCATTAGCCTTTACTGTGGAAGTTTGACGTTTGGACTTCATGGCATGGGAACTATGGGGCTGCCACTATGACATCCTAACTTTGGACTTTTTCCCACCACCTGCAGACATGTATCTATCTATCTATCTATCTATCTATCTCTGATGTTCAGGTACAGCGTTTGAAGAACAGCTCTGTGCATCTTCCTTGAAGGTCTCGTGAGGAAATTTGCAAGAGAAAAGAAATGTTCAAGTTTCAATGAACAGGAATAAATAGCAATCATGTAGTCAACTATCTTAACTTTATGACAGGCTAAGCATGGAATTAAGAATTCAAGACATGTGATTACTTTAAATTATTAGTCTTTTCAGGATCTATAGTTTTGGTCAATCGTGACTCCTTTATTAACCCATTGATACATGTATAGAATAACCGGTGAGGTCTTATTAGTTGTTCATAGCCACGGACAAATCTGTGCAGGAGTATCATCTATGGAATCAATGTGACAACACCTCTCTCCATATGCCAAATGATAAATAAGAAATACTTTGTATGCTTTGATTTTATTTTTTCCTTTCTTTCTTGCATGATGCCCTTCGTCAACGATGCCAAGTTCTCTCTCTCTCTCTCTCTCTCTCTCTCTCTCTCTCTCTCTCTCTCTCTCATGAAAACACCAGGAGAGGTCACATTATGGGTAGGTACTTGTGAAATGTGCAACATGATACCTATTTAAAGGACTTCAAAGCTGCACTTAATGTGGGTTTAGGTTCAAACTTAGGCAGGAGATTGAATCAGCGCTACGTAGATGACTTTGACTCATCCACCCTCCGAAGCTGTCAGCAACGCACACCATCCGTGCGATAGCAGCATGGACTCAGTCCTCCTGCCTCTATTCATCTCTCTGTCCACATGGAACGTCATATGTTTGCCGTGAACTAAAGTGTGAGATATCAACAGGAGAAAATGTTTGAAGGCCATTAAAACAGTTTAAGCTTCATTGTTTCCATTTGGCCGCTCACTGTTTCCTATCTCATTCCAACTGTTTGACTGGATTCTTTGTGAAGGTCGATATTAAGCTGGCACAAATGACGGATGAATTGCGAAAGATGTAAACTTGTTTTACTTAGGAAGCAATTCTGGTGATGGAATCAATCTAATAGACGAGCATGCAAGAGATCTGTAGGTGAAGAATGAACGAGGAACCAAAATTTGTTTTTCCTTGCAGCAGGATGTTTCCGATCCTTTCGGTAAGATTCAACTCTTCGACGACTAGTCTGATATGATGATATACACGAGAGAATTTACATGAAAGATTGACTAACTGGTGACTGATTAGCCTAAATCGAATAGCCGATGCTACGAACCCTCCTCTCTGCATTGCTTCTTGAACAGCTCGAGTGATGATATCAAATCCATGTCCCTGGTCCTCTTCGCAGCCCAGCCAACACCACTCCTATCGCTGACATCTCCGCTCACCGCCGCCGGAATCTTGACAATGTTCACACCGAAGAGCCTCACCACCTCAACGGGTGGTTTCGTCGCTTGAACCCCATCGGCCGTGTGTGCGCCGGCGGTTCGCGTCTTCCAACCGATGAAGAGCTGCTTCTCCGGGCCGGTCGAGCGCTGGAAGGTGACGACGTCGCCTGCTCTGAGCCCCTTCTCCTTGACAAACCGGCTCCAGCCCTTGGTTAGCACGTAGCTCTGGCTACTGTTCCAGTAGGAGTAGCGGAACCGCCACACCTTCCCGCAGGCGTCCTCGAAGTTCAGCAGCACCCCTTTGCAGGCGGCAGCGCCGGTCTGATTCAGCGGGAAGTGCTTCTCGGCGTGCTGCTTCGGTATCACCAACCTGTTCAGCTTTCCGACGTCGCTTGGAGTCACGGCCTTGTCGAAGAGGTGCTCCCTGTGCTCGCCACCAAACCACCCCGTGACCCCTCCACGGGAAGGATGGTTCCTCCTCTTGTCGGCGCCGGAGGATCGTTTGCTTTGCTGCAGCTCGTCGAGGTAGGTATGTTTACGGAGCATGTCGACGATCTCAGCCTTGGAATGCGAATTCAGGAACGAGAGTTCCGCCGTGTCCTCATCGCGGGTCTCGACGAGCGGCTTGAAGTTGGTGACGGCGTCGCGCCCGCGGAAGCGCTGCGCAGCCACGTCGTAGGCCCGCGCCGCCTCGTCCTCCTCGTTGAAAGTGCCCAGCCAGACCCGCTGGTGCTTCTCGTAGATCTGCGCCCCCCACCGGCCGTTAGGCTGCGGCACGACGCCTTTGTACTGGGACGACGGCAGCTTCCGTGACTCGGCCTCGATGCTGATCTCCGGTTCGAGGACGACGCTTGCTCCGCTACCGAGTCGTCGTAAGCCCTTAGGAGGGGCCGGCGGCGGTGGCCGCGGCCGCGGCGGAGGAGACTGCTTCTCGATCTCGCTGCAAGCATCCTCTAAGCTGCTAGTGTCCATAGGTTGTTCCAGACGGACTGGCTAAGCAGAAGTAGGGATGAAGGTTGAGGAAGAGGCAGAGTAAGAGACAGATAGGAGATGTGTGTTGGGGTTGTTATATAGCAAAATGAAGGGCGTCTATTATTATAGAATTAGATAGTTAGGAATATGATAGATCTCATGGTTTGGGTGTGGGTCAACTCAAAAGTGACGGTGAGAAGAAGAAGAAGATTCGTAGGAAGGAGGGGGGAGAGGGGGAGGCAGTAGTGCCTCTTTGCCTTCCTCCTCCTATGTGGATTAGCGTATGGTGGTGCAAGTTGGCTAAGGGGGTGGGACATGGCATCGAGGCAAGTGGATGAGGGGAGAGGAGTGTGGACCATGACTCGTAAGTGCATCCCCCCCTCCTGGGGCTTCGCTGCTGCTGCTGCTGCTGCTGCTGCTCCTCCTGAGCAATGGCCTGCTCATCTCTGATGCTTGTGTCTCACATTTCACTGTTGGGAAATACTATGAATTGGGAGACACCAAATAACACCATGGATTATGTTGCTATTTTTGTTTCTTTCTACACCAACTTGGCAACATTGTGTACATGGTTTGAGGT